CCTGTCCCCTCTGTCCCCCCTGTCCCCTCTGTCCTCTCTTCCCCCAGTCTCCCTCTTCCCCCGTCCCCATGTCCCTGCAGGAACCAGGACTGCAGGACAGTCTTCTGGACCTGCCTGCCTCAAATGTCCAGAGTCTGGAGAAGGAACCGGGCTACAGGAAGAGGATCTGTGTCGGACTCGGACTGCTGGTCTCAGCTGTTGTTGTGTCTCTGGTGACTGGACTCCTGGTCTGGCACTTCCACTGTGAGCTGATCCACAATTTTTCATGTGGCCCAGGTCTGAGTCCAGGTCTGAGTCCTGGTCTGAGTCCTGGTCTGCAGACTGAACCTAGGCTCTGACTCAATGGGACAGGTTCAGTCGGTTCTGGCTCAGGTTCTGATCCAGATGAGTCCAATCTAAAACCCTGATCAGACTCTGAGCCTCTTGTTAAACTGGTTCTGCATAGAAGCAGTTCTGGAATCCACTCAGAGCTGTTTTTAGTTTCCTGTTTGAAATAATTCATGTTTGTCTGGAGTCAGGTTCATCCCACAGGAGGCTGGGGTCAGAGGTCAGGGGTCAGGGGTCAGGACTCAGAGGTCAGGACTCAGAGGTCAGGGGTCAGAGGTCAGAGGTCTCATGGAAGAGGAAGTAGGGAAAACAGAACCCAGATTAAAATAATTGTTGCTGATAAAACTCTGGGCTCAGATCCAATGGAAGTCAATGAGAATTTCAGTGTTTGACCCCTGACCCCTGACCTCTGACCTCTGACCTCTGAGAGAAACATCAGTTAAAGTAAACTAGACGTACAGTTGGAGTAAAGTTGTTCGACAGTTGAGGTATAGTTGGTTTGTTAGTGAAGCATGGATGGAGTATAGTTGGAGTTGGTGTGTAGTTGCTATATATTTGGGCTATAGCTGAGTATACTGTATCTGGTTTACAATTTAAGTATAATTGGGGAATATTTAGAGTATAGTTTGAGTATAGTTTGTGTAGTTTGAGTGTAGTTGGAATATATTTGGAATATATTTGGAGTATAGTTGGAGTGTAGCTGGAATGTAGTGTGAGTGTAGTTGGAATATATTTGGAATATAGTTGGTGTAGTTGGAGTATAGCTGAAATACAGTTGGAGTGTAGTTGGAGTGTAGTTGGAGTGTAGTTGGAGTATAGTTGGAGTGTAGTTGGAGTGTAGTTGGAGTATAGTTGGAGTGTAGTTGGAGTATAGTTGGAGTGTAGTTGGAGTATAGCTGGAATACAGTTGGAGTGTAGTTGGAGTGTAGTTG